CTCGGATGCCGACGGAGGAAATTTCACCCGGCCGTGGTAAGCGCACCTTTTGTAATCAGGATGGGGGGCGTTCGCTGAACATGACAATTAGCATACGACTGCTTCATGTCGAAAATCATCCCCAAGGCAGCTTGAGAAAGACGTGAAAACACGACACGGGCAGCCTCAAGGGGCTAATTCCTCTGCTCGCAGCATGCCCATCCTGGTCCGACGGGCACTTTGTTCAACACGCAGCGAGAGCGCAGTTGGTACTTAACCCCCAGAGGCAGAATTCGGAGAAACACCATGCCCCGAGCCCCGCCAGAGAACGTCGGTGCTGGGGCGAACGCGGCACTGCCCTCGCGCGCAACGAAATTCGCTCCTGGATCACGGTCGGTGCGAAGATCCGTGACTGAGGAACAACTGGGCGGAAATGCATGGTCGCTAAGATAACATATGTAAATACGTAAGTACATATATCCATATTTATACATCGGCGTTACCGAAAATCAGCACGAATTGAAATTTCATCATCTTGCGCTGGCGGGCCAGATCCCGCCTGGTGGGATTTCTCAAACCGTGCGATTCTCACGTCGGGACCTGAAACCAACCCGTTCAAAACAAATGTTCTACCATACCATGGGGGGAAACCCTGGATCTAGAAATCCCTGATCTTTGATCCGACCGCTCTTGACCCAGCCCGCTCTTGATGTGTGCGTGTGTGTATGACCGTGGCGAGCCTGCGCGCCGTGCCGTGCGGTGCCGTGCTCGGGGGCCTGCGGCACCGGCCGCCCACTCACCAAGCCACGCCCCCTCCTTCACGACGCGGGCTCACGCCGTGAGTGCTCGCGGACAGCGGTGCCGCTTGGGGTCTCTTGGGCACGGTGTGGTGTCCCTCTCCTCTTCGGAAGCTCAGCAGTAAGTATGTTGATTACGACGGAGGCTCTCGCGATGACCTCGTCGGGGAGAACTCCTCAAGCGCGGAGTAACCTGGGGCCCGGGAGGAAAAAGGGTTTGGAGCCCCGTCGGGGCGCAAAGACACATGTGACGAACACCGCGAAAACCCAGAGTGGGTACGGAAAAAATGAATGCCCAACAACAAATCTTTTCCTAAAGCGACAGCGACTGCTGTTGGGCAGTCGGCTTTTTGTCTTCAATGTGCAACGTCCCCGGCGGCGCGGACAGCGAGTCCTGTTCAAAATGATAGAAAACTGCTTTTGGGCATCGTACCGATGATTGTCGTACCCATTCGGATCGTCCCGATCCTACAATGATGTAGGCCCCTGCCCGCGGCAACAATCAGATCACCTTCGCCCACTCGGGGAGAAACCGGCCCGGGCTGGACGGGACGTGGGGAGGGGCAGGGCGCAGCTGGGACCACCACCACAGCTTGGAACACACTCCTATTGAAATTCGACCACCATCACCACCACGTGTGCCAAGTACACCCTACCACCACAACTTGGAACACGTTCCTATTGCTACTTCAACTGCCCAGACAATCGTGAATGATCCAGCGGCTCCATGAATGAATGAAAGAGTCTGCTGAACACTGAAATCTGCAACTTGAGATTGACAATGCAGCTTATGTAATTCACTCGAGAGCCCAGGAGACGAGCGAAGGAGGAGAGGAGAGAGTGAATACCACAAGGGAGAATCAGTATCCTAATGTCCAAGCCATGCGGGCGGCACAAACGATTCAAGCAAACAGCTTAGCACGCAAGACTAGAAGAGAAACATACTGCAGACGTTGGAGGGTCCGCGCGAATAAAATCCAACAAAAGTTCGAAGGACGGGGAAAACCTTAGGTCGGGCATGTTCTGGTACAAGAGGATTTTGGAAGAAACAAGTATTATAAAAAGAACAAGCTATGTCAAACAATTATCGTCAAGCCGTCTTCATATTATTGTTTGACCACTGTTGAATCTTCCTTCTGCAGCCACGACCGGCGCACTTTTTGATCGGCGGCGCCTTAGACCCACGGAGCCCATACTTTGTATTATTCGCGATCACGTCCGTGACCGGCCGCGGCCCCCCCCCCGCGCCCATCCCACCTCCCCCTGGTCTTAGGTTGGGCATGTCCTTCTACATGCGGATTTTGAAGGAAAACTTTAGAAGTGTCAACAAAAGTACTCCAAAAGAGTCAAACCTAGTCGACAAAATCGTGCCAAGACTACTTTTTCCTTCAATAATCCTCATGGACGTGCCCGCCTTAACCCTGGTCTCCCCCCCCTCCACCCTTCCCCGGCCTCCCCGTCCCCGTCACGCCCATGATCGCCAGGGAATAAGACCATCGCTCACCGTCTGCGCCAGGGCTGCGGCGGAGCGAGTTGCAGTCGAAATCTACAGTAAGGACGGGCGGTGAGGACGCAAGGGCCTTGGACGCCGAAGTTGGCACGTTCTGGGCGGCGGACTGCCAGCACCCTGACGGGCTGGCCAGCGAAAACCACGAAGGATGAGCCGCACAGGCAAGGACGTAAAGGGTACCCTAAGGACATCCGTGCGTCCTAACTATGAGCGAAGAAAAAGCGCCATAAACATGAACTCTTGGCTCTCCACGCAGGTTTCTTGGACCTGCGCTGGACCCCCCTCCCTGGCGCGCGGAGCGCGCCAGGGGCGGCGCCGGAGGCGCCTCCAGGGGGGCCACAGCGCGGATCCGAGATGGCGTTTTTTCTTCTTCTTCTTCTTCTTCGACTTTAGGCGCAAAGGCGGGGAGGAAGGCCAGGAGGTGTGATGGGGCAAATTGTCCACCATAACTACTATATGTAGGACGGGGACGAGGGGGATGAGGAGGTCCTCCTCCTCCTTCTCCTCCTCCTCCTCGTACATATGGTAGTGGTGGAAAATGGGGCCATCAAGGTGGGGGGAGGGCCACGGACGGCGGGAACGCCTTCAGAGCGTGAAGCTCTTCGTCGTCGGGGTAATGCCGGATGCAGGCTCGGCTCCATCCCGCCGTCCGCGCGCTGCGGCACGACTCATACATTTTTCCCAACCATCCTGTGGTGTTGGGTCCTCGTTTTGAAGAGACAGCGCCCCGCGTTCACTCCTCCTCCTCTCGTTCACTCCTCCTCCTCCCGCTGCCCCCTCCCTCCTCCTCTCATCAGCATCAGCATCAGCATCAGCATCAGCATCAGCATCAGCATCAGCATCAGCATCAGCATCATCATCATCATCATCATCATCATCATCATCATCATCATCATCATCATCATCATCATCATCATCATCATCATCATCATCAGTGGCTGCTATCGCATGCGTTTCCCCCACCCTGGGCAGCGTTTCGCAGCCCCATAGGGAGCTCCACCGAAGGCCCCAGTGGTTGCTATCGCATGCGGTTCCCCCACCCTGGGCAGCGTTTCGTGGCCCCATAGGGAGCTCCACCGAAGGACCCAGTGGCTGCTCTCGCATGCGTTTCCCCCATCCTGGGCAGCGTTTCGTAGCCCCACAGGGAGCCCCACCGAAGGCCCCAGTGGCTGCTTTCGCATGCGGTTCCCCCACCCTGGGCAGCGTTTCGTGGCCCCATACGGAGCTCCACCGAAGGCCCCAGTGGCTGCTCTCGCAGGCGTTTCCCCCACCCTGGGCAGCGTTTCGTAGCCCCATAAGGAGCTCCACCGAAGGCCCCAGTGGCTGCTCTCGCATGCGGTTCCCCCACCCTGGGCAGCGTTTCGTGGCCCCATAAGGAGCTCCACCGAAGGCCCCAGTGGTTGCTCTCGCATGCTTTTCCCCCACCCAAGGCCCCAGTGGCTGCTATCGCATGCGTTTCCCCCGCCCTGGGCAGCGTTTCTTGGCCCCATAGGGAGCTCCACCGAAGGCCCCAGTGGCTGCTTCCGCATGCGTTCCCCCACCCAGGGCAGCGCTTCGTAGCCCCATGGGGAGCTCCACCGAAGGCCCCAATGGTTGCTCTCGCATGCGGTTCCCCCACCCTGGACAGCGTTTCGTGGCCCCATATGGAGCTCCACCGAAGGCCTCAGTGGCTGCTCTCGCATGCGTTTCCCCCACCCTGGGCAGCGTTTCGTGGCCCCATAGGGAGCTCCACCGAAGGCGCCAGTGGTTGCTCTCGCATGCGGTTCCCCCACCCTGGGCAGCGTTTCGTGGCCCCATAGGGAGCTCCACCGAAGGCCCCAGTGGCTGCTCTCGCATGCATTTCCCCCCTACCCTGGGCAGCGTTTCGTAGCCCCATAGGGAGCTCCACCGAAGGCCCCAGTGGTTGTTCTCGCATACGTTTCCCTTACCTTGGGCAGCAATTCGTGGCCCCATGGGGAGCTCCACCGAAAGCCCCAAGGGGGGGTGTTCGCATGCGGTTCCCGCACCCAGGGCAGCGTTTCGTGGCCCCATAGGGAGCTCCACCGAAGGCCCCAGTGGCTGCTCTCGCATGCGTTTCCCCCGCCCTGGGCAGCGTTTCGTGGCCCCATAGGTAGGGCGCTCCACCGAAAGCCACAGTGGCTGCTCTCGCATGCGGTTCCCCCCGCCCAAGGCTGCGTTTCGTGGCCCCATAGGGAGCCCCACCGAAAGCGGCACCCACAACGCGTTGGGTCCTTCGCCATGATAATTTTGACTGGTCGGGTGCCTGGGGCAGGGTCGGGTCCCGACGTCAGCCCCGTGCGACCCTCCCCCCCCCGCGTGTTCCCCGAAGGGCTTCCACAACGGCTGGGGGAACGCATGGTCCAATAGGGTGGCCGATTGTCTCCCTCACGTTTGTAAGGGGGGGCGGTGATTCGCCGTAGGCGTCTTCGACAAGTATTGTTGATCCCCCTGCAAGGCACAGTGATTCCCAACCATCCTGTGGTGCTGGGTCCTCGTTTTGAATAGACAGCGCCCCGCGTCTCCTCCTCCCTTCCTTCCTTCCTCCACCCCCTCCTCCCTTCTCCCTTCTCCCTTGTCCCTCCTCCTCCTCCTTGCCTTTGCTCCCGGCACACCTCTCACACGTTTCGTAACCCCATAGGGAGCTCCCCCGAAGGTCCCAGTGGCACAGCCCGCATGCGGTGCCCTCACCCAGGGCAGCGTTTCGTGGCCCCATG